CTATTTCTTGTTTCCATAGATGGAATGGCAAGCCTATTACACGCACCACCACACCATCTTCGACAAAAAAATCCTTGGAGTTAGATGTTGGATTCCATTTGAAGACTGTGAATGATCTGAACTCAGCCTGAACATTGATAGCTGATATTTCCAAATCATTCTTTAATGGATCTAGAATGGCTTTACAGTTATCGAAGGGGGTTACCATGAAGACACTCTTCAGCTTCAACCTGGTTGCCAGTAAGTCAGCTACCCTCCTCCAATCATTAACCTAGAAAATAGAAGGTTTTGCACCATACATATTTGCATTTGTACTCTTCTCAGTTTGGAAAGGGTACAAATACAAATATGTACAGTACAAATCATAGTTTTCAAGGTGCCAAGGCGAGGCTAGGCGACAGGGGGACGCCTTGCCGCCTAGGCGATGGATTTTTTTATGTAGAAAACATAGATCCTAGGGTAGTTCCCTAGGTACCATAAGCATATTTTCTTAAGAATTATTCATAATTTTCATAAGTATAGAGTTCATGTTAAAGTATAGAAAATCAACATATTCATGAGAAGAAAAAGAAGAAGGAAAAGAAAATTCAAAAAATRTAGGRGCTGRACCCTYATTTTTGTTATAGGAAAAGAAGAAAAGAAAATGTGTTGATTAGAAAATGTGTAATAGTAGTAGTAGTAGTAGTAGTAGTAGTAGTAGTAGAAAATGTGTTAATTACACAAAATTTTAAGTTCTTCCTTACTTATTGGTTCAGGTTTTAAAGTCTTTGGGGGTTCAATACAGCATTAGCAATGTTTATATTGATTAAACCCTAACAAATAAGAAAATAATAAAGAATAAAAAGTATTTTATAATACATAGTACAAAACTGTTTGGCGATTAGGTGAGGCGACCCTCAAAGGGTGCCTTGTCGCCTAGGTGCCCGCCTTGACAACTATGGTACAAATGCATACAACATAATACAAAATACAGATGTTAGATTATGGAAAGAGTGTAAGGATGGGAAGTTTTCTGTCAAGTCCTTGTACACGGCACTGGTCAGAAATCAGGTGGTGGCTGATCCAGTTAGAGGTATTTGGGGGAAGCCTGTACCACCAAGGGCTGAAGCTTTTTCTTGGTTGATTGTAAGAGGATGCATTCTAACACAGGATACCTTGAAACTCAGAGGGCTGCAGTTTCCAAGTAGATGTGTGTTATGTTGTGCTGCTGAGGAAGATGTGTCTCATTTTGCTCCATTGTAACTTTTCATTTTTTTATCAGTCCATTGTAACTTTTCATACCCAACTTGGTCCTACTTTTTCAAGTTATTCAAGGTGGTCAGGAGTCCTTTGGCTGATCTGACTGAGATCTTCAGCAGCTGGCCAAGAATTCAAGGTGGAATTAAAGTCAAGATCCTATGGACATGTATTTCTTTCGCTGTTTGCTGGGAAATATGGAAGGAAAGAAATAGAAGGAACTTTGAGGGGAAAGGAAAAAGAATGGATGAGTTGGAAGCTGTTATTAGTTCAACAGTTATTGGCTGGGTGCTACTGCTTCCAGAGTTTCAAGGACTGTGGAATAAAGACTTTCGAGCTAAATTTTGGTCTACTCTGAATTCTTGATAGATGTACTGAGATATGTATTATTTCTGCAAGGGTTTTCTTTTTGTTTTGTGGCTTTCATTGCTGTAATCCGGAGGGGGTGACATCTTGTCACCTAGTTATGTTATAATGTTTTTCCTTTTAGCAATAAAATTTCTTTTATTTATCTTCAAAAAAATACAAGGTTTTGTACTCTACATATTTGTATTTGTACTCCTTCCAAACTGAGCCTTAGATTCCATTTGGAAGGAGTACAAATACAAATATGTAGAGTGCAAAACCTTGTATTTTGTGTTATTTTATATGTATTTGTACAGTACATATTTGTACTTGTATTCCTTCCAAACTGAGCCATAGATGCAAATCTACAATCCTTCCCCTTTGCCACCACCTTTGTACAATCATCTTTTATTATTTGGTAAAGTGGAAAGCATCTTTACCTATGTTTCCCAACATTTTGTAAACGGAAGAGAGCACAGCATACTTCAATAGTAACAACATGTACTACCACTAGAACAAGAAGCATGTAGAAATTATGGACACAGGGATGAGATTTTCCCAAATATATGGGGTCGGCTACATGAATCATGTTTCACCATTCTGTTGTTTTTAATGCCATATTCATTGGTATGTAATAAATATGCAATTACCTTGCAAATTTATTTTTTTTACTACTATTTTTCTTTTTTTATCACTAAAATGTAAAATATTAGGTTTAGCTGAGACCTTTCCTGCGCGGATCCTTAATTATATAGAATCTTGTTTAAACGGGTATAAGAGATTAGCTTCAGGTACCGAGTTAAAATGTGCATTTCCTTCAAGCGGTTCTGCAATTCACACACGGGATAATTCAACTTCGACAAGAGAAAAACCGCAAACAATTGAACTTCCGCTTACCGTTATTATCTCCAGAATTCGCCGAATACAAGCAGATGCAGTTCTCCAATACCGCTGCAAGTTCGCCTTTCGAAGGAATCACGGGAGACCAGGCAGCAGCCTTTACAACTGCAGACTCGTCGCTGGAAAGCTCGATAACTTGCCGGAAAAAAGGACCAATCGAGGTTTCTTCCTGAGAGAGAGGAGAAGGAAAGTGGGAGATAACTAGTAATGACGAAGCTCCGTATGCGATCCATGAGTAACCTGCGAAATCCGGCAACCAATCGATAGTAGAGACCGAACGATTTGGCGATGGAGGAATTGTCTCAGATTTGATGAGTTCGAGAGGTAATAGATCCGAAATCTCTATAGTATCGTTTCGCTCCTCGCCATTTGTTTTATTTGCGGTGACACTTTCAGTACTACAACTGCCAGTTTTCCCTTGCATTGTTTTTGGTTAAAGAGAGACTAAGCCATTGAAGCAGCAGCAGAAGCATTGTAAATGTATACCGCACTGTATTGAGAAATATAATGAAATTGAATTACTAAATTGTCCTTGCTTTTTAACTAAAATTACATAGATAACCACATACACCTCATAATGCTTATAATTTACGTATGTGCTGATGTGCAATTTAGCATGGAGCCGTCGACAAGTGTCTGGTTTTTCAGGCTGGAACTCGGAAGTTCACTTTCCTGTTTCTCTTCTCGCACTCATTTGAGAAGGTATTTATAGAAAGAACACTAAAGAGAGAGCTCTCAGAAGCCCTAGTTTAACATCTCTTTCTTTCCAATAAGGTAGGCATTTTCCTTTGTCCTATTTGTTTTAGTATATTTTTTCTGATTTCTTTTTCGTAATTCTAAGAGAAATGCTCGTACTATATCTCTGCAGATCCAAGGAAAGAAGGACTAGTCACCTGAATAAGGATTTGAAATATGGTATAGGAAAGTTTATAAAAGGAAAACTGTTTTTTTTTTTTTGGAAGAACCTTTTTGGCTTTATAAAATATGTAAAAAACATAAGATCTGAATTGGGAGTTCTGTTTTTGCTGGATTTTACAGTCGGCACTCTTCAATTTCCATTCGTTTCTGACAGTGGTGTTGTTAGTAATATGCACATGCACTTACGTGAAGATGCAGTTCCCAACCATCCTCGAGCAGAAAACTGGGTACGATCCTTCTATTACTTTAACATGTTAGAATTTCTAGGGTTTAGCTTGCCGTTGGTGATTGAATATTGTTCGGTACTAGTAGAAGGCCTTCTGAATAAATTCTTGAATTCTAAGATGTTAACAGAGCGTTCAACAGATAAACGAGTCCTTTGTAGTAAATATGCGTAATGTTGTTGAAATAATGTACGTTTGAGTAGTGTTATCGCTAATAGCCCAAACATAACCAAACCGTGGAATGTGAATGATCATTGGCATGTAGACGATTTTGTGCTAAACTGCTAATATTTAGCATGATATTTAAGTTGAGAGTTTAGTGTAGTTATCAAAGATTGAGGCATAATCATTTATGCATTAGGTGCAGGGGAGTGGTCACTGTGTATTGAAAATGTGGGACTATATAATTTAATAACTATGATCCCGTATCAAGTGAATTCCTATCATTTGTTCCCTGAAGGAGATAAGTGGGCATTCACCTTTTTATGTCATCATGGTGAAGATTTGGTCCTACAAGGTTAAACCGAAGCTTAACTTCAACAATTGGTCCTTTGGCAATCCAGCACCCTCTGGAAATTGTTCATGTTTTAGAAGCATTTTGGGCCAAATGGTGAAGATTGGGTCCTGTCCAGAGATCAAACTGAAGCTAAAATTTGGTAAATATTACTTGGACAATTCAGCACTCTCTGAAATTGTTCATGTACAGTTTGGATCCAGATGAAGAAGGAATATGCCTATGTGCTGAATTAATTGCTCTGCTTCAACAATTGAAAATTGGGCTGGAATACACTGGTAGTAAAAGGGGACTGTCAAGTGGTAATTTGATGGCTTGCTATACATTCATAAGTTCCCTGAACTCTCTGATTCTTCAATTACAGAGGCTTTAACATTGTTGGTTAATCTGAACAGCTCATTCAGATGGAATCCAAGAGGGATAAATAATAAAGGTGATTCTCTAGCTAGACAAGGGGTAAGTAGAGAGGAGCATGTCTGGGGATTTGAGGCACAGGTGGCTAATTTTTAGGACCATTGATTGAATATCTTTGTCTGCCTATTGCTTTGTGTACTGCTTCCCTACATTCCAAGCATCATAGAATGTTGGGGTTTTATTTTATGATTAAACATTAATTACTGTTGTTGATAATAAATTATTTAATTGTTCTTATCCAGATTCAGAATGCAACTCATATTCAAGGCTTAAAAATTTTTTGAGGATAAATCATATTCAAAGTTGTTATAGATGTGTCTTAGGATAACAATTATGATAGAGTATCTAAACATGAAAGCCTCGTAGATATTTTTCAGTGTTATTGAAGAAACCAGAGGCCGTAGTTTATTGTCAGCATCTATTCCTCATGGTTGCTCAATTGGCTGATGAGTCACATATGCTGGATATTTTGTTAACCTATGGTAACTAGATGCCTGTAGATGACCAGAGTAATAGTATTCATGGATATAAGGATAAGTCAAGACATGCCAAGGATATGCTTTCAGTTGTCATCATTTATAAATAGAAAAAAAAGCAGGTTTATCTTATTGATCTCTCTGCAACCTTCCATATAGCAATGAAAAAAATACAATAGTTTAAATACAGTTATAATGAAATAGTATAATGAGATTGGAATAAATTGAAAAAAAAATCATGCAATGAAACATGATAATAAAATGTTTAGTAGGAAAGACTACAAGAAAGGAAGGGTTAAGAGTTGTATTCCAGGAAATAGACAGGATACTTGTATGCATACTAGTGTCATTTTTCATAACTGTGATATATTGTCCCCTTTTCATAATCGGACATCATGGCTAATGACCTCAAATAGTTTGGTAATTTGTTGGCTGTCAGCCCCTCTCTGGTTTGCCCTTTTTGTTTAGTATTAGCCTTCTCTTCCCTTATGAAATTTTTGCAATTGATAAAAAGAAAATCAATTCTAGTTTTCTTTTAGTTCTACAAATACATTTTTATGTGGATTCCTCAAAGATGGTATGTTTAAGATCTTCACATAAGATCAAAGTGGTAATAATACTTAAAACTCTTATGTTGCCTTTGAGGAGAGATTTTGTTGGAGGTGACATGGTGGCAGGTTATCGGCATTAGCCTACCAAATTATTTGGAATCTATTGTCTGGAAGTTTCTTTGAGGACAAAATATTTGGAATCTTTGGCAAAGGTGCCAACTAGCGGGTTGGTAAGGTCTCCTGCTGGTCGCAGCAGAGACTTGGGATCGAATCCCACCTGCACCTGGGTTGGGGGGTTATGTGTTGGAGGATGGGCCACCCCCCGTTGTGTAGCCCTTCAAAAGATATATATATTTGGAATCTTTTTCTGAGATGAACTTTGAAGCCAATAATTGTAAGGGGTGCATCTGGAGTCTTATGTGATAGGCAAAGCAAGGGGTGCATCTGGAGTCTTATGTGATAGGCAAATACCACTTTGGATAAAAGGAAATTTCTATAAACAGTTGTAAGGCCAGATATGTTGTATGGAGCAGAGTGTTGGGCAGTAAAGAACCAGCAAGTCCAAAAAATGAAATGAGTGTGGCAGAACTGTGAATGCATAGATGGATGAGTCATGAGTGGTAAAACTAGAAAGGACAGGGTTAGAAATGAAGTCATACAAAGTAACCTAGGAGCTCCAATAGGTGATAAAATGAGAAAAAGTAGATTGAGATGGTTTGGCCATGTGCATAGAAGATCATTTACAGCACTTGTTAGAAAAAGTGATTGCAAGTTGAAGGGGCTAGAAGAGCCAAGGGCAGACTGAAAAGGACTTGGTGGAAGTAATAAAAAATTATTTAAGTGCCCATATTTTAACAATGGATGTGGCACTGAACAGAATGGATGGCATAACAGGACTCAAATAGCCAACTCCATATGGTTGGGACAAGGCTTAGATGATGGTGATAATGAAATTAATTTTAAAAGTTTTCCTGATGAGTTAAGAGTATGATACCAAAAAGACATGATACTGGAAAAACTTGTAACCAATGAACCAGTATCATAAAGTGGTAACCGATGAAGTGGTATTTATCAAAGCTGTTCTAGGTGGGGGTGAGGAGGTGGGGGTGAGGGCTTTGATTGGTCAAAACTCTTCAGGTATAATATCTTTCTGGCAGCATAGATTTTTCCATTCCTGATAAAAGGTAGTAGAATAAAAATATGAAAACTTGGAGCATTTAGGAGCAACTCTGTACGCAATGTTTTCAAACTAACACCTTTACATTACACTGTAGGGAGCATTATTAGACATAATACTCATGAGTGCAAAATTTGCATCCAATTTGGATTTGCAAACACATGTTTGACACTAGGATTTACACTTGCACCACAAACAAGTGTACTGTTGAAACACCAGATGATAATAATGTGTATCCAACTCTTGTCAGGCTTGATAGATTCTTGGTTTCTGAAAACTAGGATGAGCTCTTTCCTGATTTCAAGCAAGTGATTCTGTCGAGACCTGTCTCAGACCACGCTCCAATCCAGCTGATATGTGGAAATAGGAACAAAATCAAAACTCCTTTCAAGCTTGAGAATGCATGGTTTGAAGAGGCTGATTTCTTGTTGTTATTAAGATCTTTTTGGTGTGAAGTGCAAGTGGAAGGGTCCGGCTCTTGTTTTAGCTAAAAAGTTGGGGGTAGTTAAAGAAAAGTTGAAAATCTGGAAAATGGAAAATAATTTGAACGCAGAAACAGAGAAGAGGGCTTGTCTTAGTCTTATTGATGAAATTGATAGAGCAGAGGAAGCAGGCCCAATTTCAAAAGAGTTAAAGTTGAAAAGAATTCAAGCAAAGGCAGTTTTTGACAAATTGGCAGTCAAGGAGGAACAAAAATGGAGACAGAGAGCAAAATCAGAATGGCTGAAAGCTGGGGATAGGGACACTCACTACTTCCATAAGTTGGCAAATGCAAAAAACAGAATTTCCACAATTAGCAAGCTTATTTGGGATGATAAGGTGGGTAAATTGGTTGCAGAAATCAAGGTATTTGCAACTTCTTTTTATAAAAATCTTTATAAGGAAAATTAGAAATGCAGACCCTTCCCCATAAGCCTTCCTTTTAAAAAATTAAGTGAAGATCAAAGAAGTCTCCTTGAAAAACCTTTTTCTAAGGATGAGATTAAGATGGCAATCAGCAACTTGGACAATGAGAAATCCCCTGGGCCTGATGGGTTATCCAACTTGTTTTATGTTAAGTGTTGGGATTTTGTGAAGCAAGACATTCTTAATGCTTTTTAGACCTTCCATTCAAATGTCTCTCTTCAAAAGAGTCTGAATAATGTATTTATCACTCTCATTCCTAAGATTGAAGGGGTTGTGCATGTAAAAGACTTTAGACCAATAAGCCTTCTGAACAGCTTTTATAAGATTTTGGCCAAAGTCTTAGCTGAGAGGATGAAGGGGGTGTTGGATAGTGTGATCTCGAAAAACCAAAGTGCCTTTTCGCCGAGTAGGCAAATGATTAATTCGGTGTTTATTGCAAATGAATTGTTAGACTCTAGGAAAAGAGAGGGGATATTCTAGGTCTGGTGTATAAGCTGGATATAGAAAAAGCTTACGATCATGTCAATTAGAGTTGTTTAGATAGAGTTCTGGAAAAAAATGAATTTTGGGCAAAAGTGGAGAAACTGGATGAAAGTTTGTGTATCCTCCCCCAAATTCTTCATTCTGATCAACGGCCAATTAGCTGGTTTCTTTAAGAGTTCTAGAGGGTTAAGATAGGGAGACCCCCTATCTCCCCTTCTTTTTATTTGTATTGCTGAAATTGTAACTCTCTTTAGTTAGAAGGCAGTAGACTCGGGGTTGTGGGATGGGTTTGCAATCTCCCCAGGGGGTAAAAAAGTGAATATCCTTCAGTTTGCAGATGATACCTTATGCTTTATTGATGCCTCTCATGAACAACTGGAAAATCTTCTTGGGATCCTCAATTGGTTTGAAGTAGTAACTGGTTTGAAAGTCAACCTTAATAAAAGTAAAATTATCCCAGTGGGTGAGGTCCTTAACCTGAAGAATGTGCTAATATTATGGCTAGTTAGGTGGATCAGCTTCCAGTGAAGTATCTGGGCCTTCCATTGGGGGCTAAATGCTCATCTTTTGTCATTTGGGATCCAATAATTGAAAGATTGGAAAAGAAATTGTCCTCATGGAAGGTAAAGTACCTTTCCTTTGGAGGTAGAGTGACCCTTCTCAAAAGTACCCTCTCCAACCTTCCTACCTATTTTTTGTCCCTTTTTCCTATCCCAGATAAAGTGGCTAGGAAAATAGAGGCTCTCCAAAAAAAACTTCTTGTGGAGAGGTTGGGACGAAGAAAAGAAAATCCACCTTGTGGACTGGAACCAAATCTACCTCCCTAAGGAGCAAGGGGGCTTAGGCTTGAGAAGGATTAAGGTAACTAATTCGGCACTGCTTTTTGTAAATGGATCTAGAGATTTGCCACTGAAAGGGGAGCTTGGTGGAGAAGCCCTAATAGCTTCTAAATTTGTGGTTGAATGGGGTAACTGGAGAACTAGAACCCCCCCCCCCCCTAACTGGGGCTATTCTTTATGGAAAAGTATCATGAAGGTTTTTCTCTTGTTTGAAGGGGGAATCAGTCTCAAAGCTGGTAAAGGGGATAGGATCAAATTCTGGAAAGATCATTGGTGTCTGAACCATACCTTGGCTAAAGAGTTTCCTCTTATCTACCAATGTGCCTCCAACCAGAATGCTTCGGTGGCTGAAGTATACACAATTTTGGGCAATGAGGTGACATGGGTTCCCCAGTTCAGAAGAGATCTTTTTGATTGGGAAGTTCAAGAAGTTACGAGGCTGTTGGAAACTTTACAGGTTAAAAACATTGACTACAATCAGGATGATCAATGGAATTGGGTCTGATCCAAAGAGGGAATTTTCTTAGTTAAATCTATGGCCAATAGACTCTGTAGTAGAGTGGCAATGGGGGACTTCCCTGTTGAGCAGGTTTGGAGTTCAGTTTGCCCATCAAAAGTTAATTTCCTTGTCTGGACAATGGCCTTAAACAAATGTCTATCCAGAACCAATCTTGAAAGAAGAGGATTGCAGATCCCGGATAAGTCTTGTGTCCTTTGTGATGATCATCTGGAGTCTACAAATCATCTCTACGTTCATTGCCCGTTTGCTGCCCAGGTGTGGTATCACTTCTTGAAGGCTGCAGGGATATGTTGGCTCATGCCTAAATCGGTTAAGGAGTTGCTCTGTAGTTGGAAGCTCAGTAATTTGAAGAAAAGAGGGAAACTGGTCTGGATTTCCATTCCGGCAGCAGTGATTTGGGCTATTTGGTCTAAGAGAAATAACAGAATTTTTAAACAAAGAGTGAGAGGGGCCGAGGAAATAGTTCAAATGGCTGTTGGTAAACTGATCTCTTGAATTTCAGTCACCCCAGAATTCAGACACATAAATGTAACTCAATTACTGAGAAATCGGTCAATTTGGTGCTTGTAATGGGGGGTTCTCAGGCCTGCCTTGTTGTTGGCAGGTTCTACTTTGTACTTTTATTAGTTTGATTTAATAAATTATCTTACCTTTTCAAAAAAAAAAATAATAATGTGTTTCTCCTCTCATTTTTATGTTCTAATTTGGTAAAGTGTGAATTTGGCAGGTTTCGAGGTTTCTTCTGGAAAGCAGCAAGAATAGGTAAGTTATCATATCATTATTTTTTCTTTTGATGAATGAAAATAATTTATTAAATCAGAATATAAGGCAATACAGGAAACCCATGAAGAGGCATGAGTTGTTACCTCTTCTAACAAAGTATTACATAAATTAAGAACTAGATAAGCACAAATAAACAGAAATAAAACTACATAGCAGCCCAAAACAAATGGTCCCTTGAAACCCCTTGCTTAGCTAGTCCATCCACTAAGGAATTTGCTGATCTTTCTACCCAAAGAGAGGTAACTGTCATATTTCTTGTGAGCCAATTGACTTTCCTCAATAAATCTCTATATCGCCACATAGCTAAAGCTGGCTTTGTCAGCCATCCCACAACAATTTTAGAGTCTCCTTCAACTATCAGGTGTTGAACTCCTAACTGTTTAGCAATCTGGATGCCTTGTACAGCCGCTAAGATCTCTGCTCTATTTGAGTCTCCTATTCCCTCAGTGCCTGAAAACAAAGCTAGGATGTTGCTCTCTCTATCTCTCAGCAGCCCTCCTATCCCCGAAGGGCCTGGGTTTCCTTGGCTACTACCATCAGAATTCAGGTTTGCCCAACCTTCAGGCGGAGGCTTCCACACTGCAGCTGCCTTGTCCCTCCTCATATGACTAGTGGCTACCGCCTTCCAATTACTCCAAATGTCATCAAAGGAAAACATATGAAAGAAGTCCAAAGTTCTTAGCCAATGAATGGCTCTGGTCAATATACAATCCTCAACAGTTTGTAAGCTTCTTTCCTTTTCTTTGAACACCCTAGCATTCCTTTCTTCCCAAATTGTCCACAAGGCTGCTGCTCTAATACATCTCCACATCGTTTTTCCTTTTTTTTTGTAGGCCACACAAAACAAGAAGGATCGAACAACTGACTTAATTCTGAGGACAGATTCCACCTACATCCAAACAAAGAAAAGATCCAACTCTAAATAGCACTAGAAAAGGAACAAGATACAAATAAGTGGGAGCAATCCTCACCACTAGCCCTACAAAGTACACACCAGTTAGGGGACAAGCACATGAAAGGCCTTTTCTTCTGCAAGCAATCCAGAGTATTGATCTTTCTATAAAACACCTCCTAGCAGAATATTATAATTTTCAGAGGAACAGGTCTGAACCAAATCTCCTTAGTAGGGAAACCTAACTGTCCCATTGAAGGGCAAAGGGACTTAAAAAAGGAAGCACAAGTGAAAAAACCTTTTGGATGAGGAGACCAAAGTCTCACATCCGAGCGAAGAGGGTCCAGAAAGACACTGCCAAGAAGAGACAACAATTCTAAAACACTACTAAGTTCAACATTCCTCAAACCTCTCCTGAAACCAAAGTCCCAGCTTAAGGAAGAGGGAGAAGTAATAGAAGGAAGAAAATGAGAAACAGTTTTTTCCTTGTAAAGGGAAAGAGAATAGAGAGCCGGGAATTTGTCCTTAAGGGCAACGGTACCCACCCAAGTATCTTCCCAAAATAAAACAGACTCACCAGAGTTGACATCATACCTGACTAAGTTGAGAAACTGAGGGAGGACACTCTGAATTGCTTTCCAAGGAGATGCCAACGTAGGTTGACGTGATACACCCTCATCCCAACCATTTTCCTGTCTGCCATGTATTACTAGCTATCACTTCATGCCACAATCTCTCCCTTTCTCTAGGCCACCTCCACAACCACTTTCCTAAGAGAGCTTTATTCCTTTGAGCTAACCTTCCTMCTCCCAGTCCACYCTCCTCTTTACTCCTACAAACTATTTCCCAATTGATTAGATGATCTTTCTTTTCCTCCCYAGGCTCCCACRRAAAAGATCTCWTTATCCTCTCCAACTTCTTAGCTTCCCTAATAGGAATCCTAAAGATAGAGAGAAAATAAACCGGTAAGTTTGCTCGGGTAGCTCTCAATAAAGTCACTCGACCCCCTATGGAAATGTAGTTCTTTTTCCAGAAGCTAATCTTCTCTCAAACTTTTCCAGAATTGGGGTCCAAAATCTACTCTCCTTTGGGTTAGCCCCTAGAGGGAGACCTAGATACTACAAGGGCCAAGAAGAAATGGGACAACCTAAACAATCCGCCACAGACTGCAAAGTTCTCTCATTCAGATTAACCCCTACCACACAACTCTTATCCAGGTTTATCTTCAAATTGGAGACATTCTCAAAGTGTTGTAACAATGCTTTGAGATTTCTCACTTCCCGCCTGTCACCCCCTTCACAAAAAATTATGATATCATCGGCAAACTGCAGGTGGGTTACCCGTGCATTGTTCCTTCCAATCTTCCAGCCTCTAACTTCCTCTTCGCTATCTGCTTTAGAGATTAATCTACTGAAGACATCTGCAACCAGGGTAAAAAGAAAAGGGGAGAGAGGGTCACCTTGTCTAAGGCCTCTACAAGCTGAGAAAAAGTCTTTCACCACCCCATTAACCAAAACGAAGTAATGGCAGGAACTAATACAGCCCTTTACCCAATTGCACCATCTAGCTCCAAACCCACAGCACCCTAGGACCTCTAGTAAAAAGCTTCAATCCACAAGATCATAAGCCTTCTCCAAATCTAGTTTACAAACGAAACCTTGGGGTCCTGACTTTCTCATGTGCCTTTTTTAGGATTGATGATGGAGGATAGTACTACTCGGATGACAACACTTTAGCCAGGATTTTATTGATGCTTGTCACTAGATTGATTGGCCTATAGTCCTTAGGGTTCTTTGCATCTGCCTTTTTTAGGATTAGGGCTAGAAAAGTAGCATTGACTCTAGGGCTCACCATTTTTTTATTTGCAAATTTCTGAAACACCCTAACAAGGTCTTCTTTGACCACATCCCAACAATCCTGATAGAAAGCCATTGTAAAGCCATCTGGACCAGGTGCTTTGGATTTATCCATTGAAAACACCGCCTATCTTATCTCTTCTTCACTAAAGTCCCTTTCTAACCAGTTTGCTTGTTCTTCAGACAATCTAGTCCACTCCAAGTCTTCCAAGGTTGGCCTATTATTCAATGGTTTCCTGTAGATTGATTTGAAATGATCCACAAAACATCTGGCTATCTCATCTTGATTTGTGAGTTCCTCCCCATTCACCTCTAACTTAGACACAGTTTTTTCTTCTCCTCCCATTAGCCAATGCATGGAAAAATTTAGTATTTCCATCCCCTTCCTTAATCCATTTATGTCGCGACTTTTGCCTCCACGAAATTTCCTCTCTCAAAAGGACCTCTTCCAGGTCCTTCTTTAGGTTTCTTCTCAAAACCCGTTCTTGCTTACTCATCATCCTTTGAGCTTCCTTGGAATCAAGTTCCTCAATCCTAGACATCAAGTCAATTTTTTGCTCCTCTATCCTTCCAAAGTGTTCCCTATTCCACTCCTTAATTTTGGATATCAACCTTTTCAATTTTTTGTGGAATCTTTCTCCCTTCCAATTCACTCCTCTTAATTCTTCTCTCCACCATTCCCCAACCAAGTGCACAAAATCTGGATGAGTTAACCACATATTCTCAAATCTAAAAGGCCGATGACCAAAAGTTAAGTTTTCAAGACTTAGCTGGATAGGACAGTGATCAGAGGTGACTCTGAGTAAGGCTCTAGCCATCAAGTTCGTCCAATGGTTCTCCCACTCTTCAGTAAAGAGGAATCTGTCTAATTTCGAGCAAAGGGGGTTTTCTTGGAAATTCRACCATGTAAAATTGGCTTGTAAGAGGGGTAACTCCTTTAGACCATAGTTATTAATGAAATCATTGAACTTCCTCATGCTGGTTGTAATTGTCCTTTGGGGGTTATTAGATTCGGTACAAAACCTAATTACATTAAAGTCCCCCCCAAGACACCAAGGACCCTCCCACAGACCTTGTATGGCATACAACTCTTCCCACATCTCATTCCTCTCTCTATACGAGTTTGGCCCATAGACATTGGTTAAGACCCAAGTGAAGCCATCCCCCACATTCCTAACCTTTTAAGGACACAGAAAATCTTCCTATTAGCTCCTCCACTGATTCTACAGCATCCTCCCTCCATAAGGTTACCAGACCTCCAGAGGCTCCATAGGATGGCGCCGAAGTCCAACAAACTCCTCTTGATCCATCTTCTATCCAATTCTGCCAGCTTGGTTTCCTGCATCAAGACTATGTCCGGTTTCTCTCTCCTCAACAAATCTTTAATTGCCCTTCTCTTTCTTTCACTTCCCAAGCCTCTCACATTCCAGCTCATCTTCATCAAGCACTTTTTTGAAAATGCCCCTTCTCAAAGACTCCACCTTACAGCAAAGTCTTTCTTCTTTCCCCTCTCCCACTAAATTCAATATCACCCTCAATATCTGAAATCAATCTCTCCACTTCAGATCTCTTTTTCTTTTTTCTCCTATTGTTACCCTTAGTCTTCCTCATTAAGGCACTAGCTTCATTTATCTCCCCCCCAGATTAGAGCTCCTGTAATAGTCCTTTTCTTGAAAAGTTGTTACTCTCTCCCTTTG